GGGGAGGGAGCTGGAAACGGTTCTAAATGGCACTGTAGATTTGTGGAACCTCTTCTATAGAAGAGGTTAGAACTGGCAGGAACCCAACCCTGGGTTGATCCCTTGCAGATGCCCTTTTAAAATGAATGCTTGATAGCTATAGTATGCAGTTTGATATTTGTGCCTTAAAAGAGGACAGATATATCTAAGAATCACAGGACGTGGGCAGAGCAGGGGAAATACCCAGATGAACCCTCAGTGATGGTCTCAGCCCTGCACTGCAACAGCTATACTGCAACAGCAAGGTTGTAGAGGGTTTCCCCATCATCCATCTGTCCTATACATTTGTCATTGTATAATCCTAGGAACTGGACCGCACAGATCAGCAGAACTGAAGTAGTATGGATGAAATCTAATTGTCCTCTAATTCATGAACTGAAATTATAGTGGAAGTAATATTCTGCTGGAAAAAATTTGTGCTGTTCAGTTAGCTAAGACATACATTTGTATTTGGGTAATGAGAATTGGGTCCAATGTTTCCTTCAGAAATGAACTGATTTGAACTCTGATTCATTGATTCAAAAGGATTAGAAACAATTCCACACTACTTCTGCCCAATTCTTATAGTACCTTTAGTGTCTTCATCTTCAATGGTGGTATTTGTACTCTCTGAAGATTCCTGGACCAGAAAAGAAAAGAAAAAGCAAAATATTGGAGCAAAGTAAGACTATTTCAACTTTGTTTCAGAACTGTTTGTTAACCTTCCATTAAGGTTTTACCCAAACAGCATCAAACACTGCAAAGGAACAAAAACCAGGTAAGCATAAGTAAATGTCAACAACTGCAGCTCTTCCTTTGTATCTGTAACATTTCCCCTGACTTCTATCCAAAACTTACAAAACTAAGCAGGAGGTCCAACTGCATTATCATGTAAAAATGTAATCGCCTTTCTTGCAATTGTCTACCATCATAAAGAAGACCGAAGGAATGAAGGTCCCGGAATCTCCTAATGTAAGGAGGAATAAGAGGGCTGTGTAGAAGTGAAAGACAGTATGTACAAATTAACAGGAGGGAACTAGGATGAGGGAGAGAGGGAGACTGTGCAGGAGTGAAAGAGGCCACACTGAGTGCATAGTAAAGAAAGAAATGTACAGTAAAACAAAGAGGGCTTCTAAGACCCACATAGACCATCAAAGCCTGACACATACTTTCTTCCATAAACAGCCAAGTGATACACAAATTAACACGAAGAAAGGAGAGCCATTTGCTTTCCAACATTATCAACAAGACAGCTCTGGTAGCTATACTAGGATTACTCATTCATCCTACCAGAGATGGGTTTTTTTTCATATCTTGGTCTCAAACAACCAATTGACCAAGCTTCATCAGCTGTCTGATTGCTTATGACTGCACAGTTCCAGCAGAGCCATATTAGATAGCCTTTTCCTTCATATCTCCTTGGATGGAGATAGTCTGCACATCTGCTAAATGATAAGCACCATTGAAAACCTTTCCCTAGAAATTCAGATTAGGTTCTCAGTGCTCTGCAGTGGGCTTCAGCTTCTTTTGTGCCATCCATTCCTGTTTAATGGGATTTGTAGGGGAGATGCTGTACCGAAGAGGTTCAACCTTCAACCCAACCCTCTCTGCTTTCTAAGAACAGGAATGGTTGGAAGACGTTGAGAGGCCCAACGTTATCAGCATTGAGGAAGACAAAGGACACTCACCATTAACTGAACGCTGGAACTGGACTTTCTTTTCTGGAAAAACAAGGAGAAGAGATGGGACAAGAAGAGACACAGAGTGAGAAAGAAAGAAGTGAGCAGAACATGGGATGCCAAGGAACCTGGGACAGTTGTGGTGATCCCTCTAAGAAGATGGGTTTTCTTGTGGATAAGCCTGATGCTTAAATGAAGAGTTCCAAGTCTTCAATAAAGACAGAAAACAACCATTGTACACAGCATGCTAGTGTAAAATTTCCCACGCAAGGAACAATTCAATCAACATGGTCCAATTCACACCCTGAGTGCTATTCATCTTTGCTGCCTATCAATCTTACCCTAACACAGCCTTGACATCTACAGTAATTCTCAATTTAGTTCATTTCTTATCCAAGACACAGCAAATATTTCCAAGTGGATATTTTCCAAGCTGAAAGCACATTAGATATCACACTAAAACTACCTGCCTTGCCAAGAGGAAATATTGTAATCCTGCTAGTAGAACAGGCAAAAACTGTTCATTTAAAATCAGAAGATAAGCTAGAAGGAATTCAAACAACCCTCTAACTCAACTTAGTGAGGCGGGACATGTTACAACACCAATATCTGAATTTTTCTTAAATAATTGCTGAAGTGCTGAAAGCATCTTATTTTACTAACTTAAAACTTTACACTTGGTGGAGCTGAAATCCATTGCTTCACAAAATGATTAATGGGTGTGCTCTTTTAAAAAACAAATTTACAGAGTATTTTGCATGGATACGTGAAGCATATCTGATCCCACACAGTCACTTTTCAAGATGCCCACATTATGCATCTGCATTGATTACCAGGTAGCAAAACTATAGGTTTGCTATAGGCTGTAGTGACAATAGACTACAGTATACAATTTTGCCTGGAGACAAATTCTCCCAAGAGGAAAATCTGGAAACTGGATTTTAATGATGACAAAGTACTTTCATTCCCACAAAAAGAAGAGGGTTGCTAAGCTTTCTTTTGGAAACAAAAATAATAAATAGATGCTATTCATATCATGTCTGCTTCTTTCCTAGATTTCTGCAAAGTGCAGTAATCATTAACCTTATGTAGGAATGTGTTAACACATGTTTTCATTAGATTTTTTTAAAAAAAAATGTGGATGACTAAAACTATAGTTTCTTTCTATATGGTTAATGCTGAACTGCAAAAAATGCACCCTCTAATTACAATCTAAGGAGCAGAGATTATATTTTATATATGTCATATAACCTCAGAATGGCATCAAAAATCACCCATATACTAAATGGTGAAAATCAGCCTCTCATTAACTGCAGACATGGACTGATGTTACATCACAAATTAGCACTTTGCATATTAAGAGCAGAAACCCTAGAAATAACCCAAGAAATATAATTTAAAACTTTGCCTTTAATTCTTGATGAAATTACTTCACACTGCACATTGGAAGGGAATTGACTTGCTACCTTTCAGAAGTTCCATGAGTACTCAGAAATGCTTTGAAGTTCCCTCTTACTTATCATCATTACTATCCAGTTTGGGTTTTTGTACTTTGCTTTGCTCTGGCAGAAATCCTAGCACAATTCTTGTGAACATGCCTACTCAGACAAGGTAGGAAGTACTGCCCTTCCAAAAGGATGTAACATCTCAGCACTTCAGACAGTGGGTTCAGCTGAGCACTTCAGGTGCTTCACACTTAGAAACTGGTTTCAAATGTGAGTGTTGCAAATTAAATTATGATATGCTTCAGATCATGTGGGTAGAGATAGTGATTCATGCCCATTGGCATCTGGGATCCTCATTCTCTTCTATCATCTGTGTAGAATGTATCTTGTTTTAAATGATTGCTTCACAACTGTCCTCTGAATTTTTTTTAAAAAAGGAAAACTGATCCTACTATCTCCTAGCTAGGCTACGATCTATGGTAATTCCATTGAAAACCTAGTAAAAGATACAGTAGGAAATCTTACTGGACAATAATTATAAAGGTAATCAGACATAGCACGATGCAACACAAAAGCAGTGGCCTCATTTAAGTAGGACAAACATACAGTAAAAGAACACAGTACAGGGAAGTGAATTTAGTAATTTAGGACATAGGATGTGACATGGTGGAGTGCAGAGATTGCATTAATTCAGTGTGTGGAGATGTGATTCTGAATGGGACAATGAACATTATTGTGTAGCCACTGGTTAAAAATAAGGCTTTTTTTTAATGAGCTGTTGTTATATCCAAACAAGAATATCTATCTTTCTAAAATGGACTATTCATGGAAAGAACCCTACTTCAAGTTTAAAACATGTGCTCCTTTGGGAGCAGTTTATCAAACCATGGATTTTATTAGAAAAATACAGAAAGTACAAGGATATATCAGTAAACTGGTTTAACTATTGCAAAGAAAGAAACTGATTCTTTGGATTAGTTTCTGAGAGGAATTAACAGTGAGAGCATCAGGAGAGGCTGTTAGTACTAGGAACAGCCAGCTGCCTCAGCATAAATATATATCTTAGCCCGACAGTCCTGTTGTCAGAATCTCCAGGGCATCCATATGGTCATTCTCTGAAACTGCATTCCTTTTCACACCCTCAAACCACCATCAAGTCACCATCTGAACTGTGAAAGGATTGCCAGACACCTTTCCAGGAAATTCCAGTTTGGTTTCCAGAAAATAAAACAGTAATAATAACAGTAATAAGCACAGCTACATTACACTCTCCCAACTCAAATACTTTGGGGCTGAGCAATGGAAGTAGTATTACTGCTGAAAGGTTGTTCATGCTTGAATCTACTTCTCATTAAAGTCAGTTTTCAAAGTGCCAATGGCCTTACAAAAGCCAAAGACTCAGAGGCATTGTTCCTGGATTTACTACTTTCTCCTTAAACCCAGGAGTGACAACAATCTCGGAATTCTTTAATCTATCTCAAGTTTCCAAAGTTGTTTTATCATATTAATGTAGTACAGGGTGGGGCATAACCTTTTCCTAGGGGGTCACAGCAACACTTGTAATAACAACACAAAT